CCGCCGGGCCGGGCCTCAGCCAGCAACGCCTTCGGGGACTCCAAGGCCACCGTGGGCAGCGCCGCGCAGTCCCCACCCACGGAAGAGAAAGGAGTCCTTTGAATACAAGCCACGGCCTGATGCACCCGGCTGGACAGCCCGCCTTTGATCGTGCACTAGTGTGCAAGAGGGTGTGTCTCTGGGTGTGCCCCGGCATGCATATCAGACTCTGGAAAGGCCACTTTCAAAATCCATTGTGTTCTAGCCAATGATAACATTTTAAATACAAATTTGCACCATTTTTTGAAAAGTGAACCACGTCCATTATTAGATGCTTTTGTAGGACTGATTTATTATAATGGCTTTAGTATTCGGTGGGACCAGGCAACATACACATCTACGGGCTAAAATCGGGCCAGCAATAAATAGAGTTGTAACTTCAAAACACAGAAGCAGCTTTAAGACAGCACCACCATCACAAGACTCTCTTCCTATGGGGGAAAAGTGCACTGGTTACCAAGCGTGGCTTTATGAAAATAGATTTTGGGAATACTCTTATTCAGCTAAACTGGCATCTAATATGCTGTGTCTTTCCTTATGGACATACCTAAGATTTGGTATTTTTTAAATTGAGCTTTATTGCACAGTGTGCCGTGACCTTTTTCCCCTTAATTTTGTTCTGAACAGAAAGCACATGGTGTAGTGTTCACTAGAGCCGCCCAGACCTAAGCTATTTATTACTCAGCGTATTTAAGTTGGGACGAAAGGTCTACCTCCAGACTCCCAGGGCTGAACCTCCGTTCACTAGTTCTAAAGGTAATTTATAATCCAGAACACTGTGAGAGACTCAGACTGTAGGAGTGACTGAAATGACTGCCGAGATGAAGGGATCCCCTGCAGCAATGGTCCAGGCTCCCTAGAATGCATGGCTATAGAGTAAAACCTGCGGAGGAAACAGCAAAGCAGGATCGAAAACAGATTATCCTCAGGTAGAGTTGCTTCTGCCACTGTTCTCTCCATCCCCACTGGCTTGCTTAGATCAGGGAAACATGAGCCCCTGCACCACCTCCTTTCCCTGTCCCCTACATACATTTCTACACAAACGTTCTTCTTTTGTCCCATATGCTTGCTTCTTGGTTCTATCAGTAAAAAGCCACAAAGGCTTCAGATGGGGCTGTTTCCTGAGACTCTCATACCGAGGGGTCTTGAATAAACAGTTTGTCCCTCTGGGCCTTCTTGGAGATTAAACCGGACATGGACCCTGAGTAATCTCGCATCCTTTGCACCACCATGGTCACAACGGGCTCTACTATTCTGTATCTAAAGGTGTCTCCAGGTTGGTGTGTGGTGTTAGCACACTTTAGTGACATGAACTGTTTAAAGGTGGTGAAAGTCAGGGTGGAAAGAGAACTGTACTTAAAACCGAGGATGGGATAAATGCTACAAGTGGCATAAAATGTGAAAACAGGAAAGGAGGGAAGGGAGTTCCTGGTCTGTCTCAGCGGCTCAATAAGGAACAGGAAATGAATGAGTTGCTAAATCCTTTTTTTTAAAGCCAAATATTTATTGGTACATTTTATATAATTATAATGATAACACTCATCAAAGGAAATTTGTACTGGTACATGACATATCTTGCTTTTTTCCTGCTCTCCTTCCCTTCCTTTGACCCTTCTTCCTCTCCATGTTCACAAAAGCCTTTTCCAGTTTTTCCTTTATACATTTTTTTTCTTGTCCCTTCTTTCCTTTCCCCCTCCTCCCTCTCATTTCCCTTCTCATGGACATTTTCTTCCCATTTCTCAATCTCCATTATTCATTTTGGTCCTCATTTCCAGTTTTGGTTTCTGATGACAGAAAAACAATGCAGTATTTAAACATGTGTCTGATTTATCTCACTTAAGAATACGATCTCGGGCCGGGGATTTTGCTCTGTGGTTCCACCTCACAGGCACAAGGACCCAAGTTCAATCCCCGGTACCAAAAAAGAGAAAAGAGTATGGTCTCAAGATGGATCCACTCAGTGGAAATGCCTCAAGCTTATCCTTCTTTATGAGTTGCTGAAATTCTGGAGAAGTTTTCTAAAAACCAACTTGAAATGATGTCCTGTGTTCAGTGTCTGTCCCTGCTTCCTGTGAGATGAAGGATTTTTCAAATATTTTCCTGTGCCTCCCCACAATAAAAGCATAAATCCTACATTAATCAGGGCTACCTAGATATGCTTCTTTAGCAAGCTAATTTAATACTTAGGGAAAGTTACAAGATCATATATATCAGGATGCTAACTCTTCACCTCTGAGGAATGAAGACTGTGGCCAATTTTTAAATTTTAGTGTTTTCTATTTTGGCTTTCTTCTATGTTTTAATGAACATAACTATAATCAAGAGAAATGATTTTGAAACAAAAACAGGATCTCCTAAGGTCCAGCAGAGGAGCACTGTGGCTTGTCGTAAAATACAAAAGGCTGAAAATGTAGCACCAAGTCTACAAAACATGTCTTTTTCTTTCCAATTTTTACTTCTTTTAGCCTGTTTGCAGGATACAGTGATTACACCCACTGGGAGCTGGCATGCGGGTGTAACGCAGTATAACCCTTCTGCCCCTTTCCCTCCCCCATCTCAGGGTCCCTCTTTGCTATTTTATTTTGCTCTTTAAGTTATCTATGTTTTGTGTGGCTGGTAAACTGAGTGTGCATATGGTGACAGAGAACAAGATGGTAGAGAAAACCAAGTTTAACATTTTCATTTTGTTAGTCCACGTGTGCAGTGCACGATGATCACATCCCTGCACCTAACACCTCAATTCTTTCTACATCCCCTCCCCCTCCCCTTCCTCTTAGTCTCCTTTTGCCTCTGCAAAAGATCTCTTTGTTACAAAGTGTGCAGTGAGTCAGGCTGTCGCGGGGAAGCCAGCAGAGCTGTGAACTCACTGATGGTCTCAAACAGTGGCAACCGCGCAAGCCCCATCGCCCTGCATGGCCCTGGCAGCAGCCAGCACTGAGGTTTAAGTAAGTGGGTTTGGGGCTGTGTTTGGGCCCTCATCTCTAAGAGTTTCACCATCAATGGCCTAAAGGATATTTGCAAAACAAGCAGAACTGAACAGAAGCAGAAAAACCCAGGATAAAACCCAGGCAGCCCAAGTAGAAGGTCCTTTCCCATCCAGTACAGAGATCCTTCGCTGCCGCTTGAGGGCTCCAGCCTCAATGAACCAAAGGCACAAAAATCTGAGACTCAGACCCCTCGGTCAGCCCTCATCTCGTTGGACAGCCTGAAAGTGGATCGCTCCAGTGTCTACCTGTCCTAAAGGTGAATTTTGAAGAGGTCCAGGCTGGTAGTCCAAGGCAGTAGAAATGTAAATCTCAACCCAGGCCTCCAGAAACCACCCCCAGATAGTTTTAAAAATGAATAAAAACATGGGCCGGGGATTTAGCTCAGCGGTTCGGTGGCCTGCCTTGCAAGCACAAGGACCCTGGTTCAATCCCGGTGCCAAAAAAAAAAAAAAAAAAAAAATGAATAAAAACAAATGTGCAGTACAAAAACATGGTGCTAAAGAACCAACAGAACGGAGGTTTCAAATAAAATAGATGAAGGGCCAGGGATTTAGCTCAGTGGTTCCGCTGCTTGCCTCACAAGCACAAGGTCCTGAGTTTGATCCCCAGTACCAAAAACAAAACAAGAAAAAAAATCAAATAGATATTTTATTAGCATCTATAAAAGTTTAAAGAAATTAGTTTGAAAATATAAAAAAGTTCTATAATAAATGGCCAAGTATTTAATAATTCAGAAAACATGTAATAATTTAAATTAACTAAAAAATAAAATATTTAATAAATGAGACTATCATGAAGAGAGTACAGAACACAAATCTAAAGAAATTGTCAATATTAAAGCATAGAGAGACAAAGAGAAAACATGACCGTGAGGTTAATGTCACAAAGATTAGTATGAAAGGTCTGCCGTGTATCTACTCAGTTTCCAAAGAAGGGGGAGCAAACAGAGCAGGGCTGGAGAAAAAGATGGAAAGCTTTCCAAAGCTGACAAAAGATACCACAAAGCCCAATGGCTTCCAAGCACAATAGAAACATACTCAAATTCAGAAATTCCAACTACACAGCTTGTGGGCGAAGTTCGAGCCTGGCTGGGACAGGTGCGCCGCACTCTGTCTCCTGAGCTAACTCACCTCAGTGTGCAGATGCTCAGTGCAACAGGCTACAGCTCCGCCCCTAGTCCCTGACTCCTTGGCCTCGCCCAAGAGAAATCACTCCACCGAGCCTCCAATAAGGTATCACGTTAACTGCTCCTCCCCTACGGTTGTCCCTATACAAGCCTGTGCATTTCCTGAATAAAGAGAGGAGCATTCCAGGAACCTCCCTGCGGTCTGCCTGGTGATTCCATGCCTTACCCTCCCAGTCCGAGCTCCCGAACCTTGTTCCACGAGGCTAGACCCCATTGCAACTGCAAGGCACCAAGGACGAAGTCTTAATTCCCAGCACCACAAGAAAGGGGGTAGTAAAAAGAACTAAGCTGTGATACACATGCACCAACTCCTCACAGTGAAAGTAATTATTATGTACTGCAAACACCGACTCATGAGAAGAAAAAAACACAAAGAGCAAAGTTCAAAGGCACAACTGGGCTTCCAAACAGTCATGATGGGAAATAATCCAGAAAACAGCAGGAGAGTACCAACAGTACACTGATAGCTGCTTCCCCAGAAGTGTAAGCCCTCCGGAGCTACTGTATATAAAACACAGTAGAAACACATTTTCAAGAAAACAAAAACTTGGATGAGCATGGTGGTGCACACCTGTAGTCCCAGCACTCAGGAGGCTCAGGCAGGGGGATGGGGGATTTGTGAGTTTGAGGCCAGCCAGTGCCAAACAAGGAATCCCAGGCCAGCTTGAACTACATAGCATAACCTTTTCTCTAAATAAATAAGAAAACAAAAAGTCAAAAGTTCACCACCATCAGTATCTCATGAGGGGAAATTCTGAGGAAGATCAGCCAATGTCTTCTGGGAAAGACCAGACAGTGAGTATTTCCAGCCTCATGGAGCTATACAGTCTGTCACTTCCACCACTGCAAGCTGCAAATAGCCAGGGCCCTACACAAACAGGTGGCTTGGCTGTTTGCACAAGAGAGCAGCAGGCTGGACGTGGCCACCAGGACCCAATTATGTCCTTCTAGTCTATTGTTTTATATTTTTGGGTCTCACTATGTAGTTGACTGGCCTTGAACTTGCTGTGATCCTCCTGCCTCAGCCTCCTCAGTGGGAAATATTAGTGTTGTATCACATTCTTATTATATAAAACATATATTTTAGTATTCTTTCAAACCTCCCAAAACTTAATAAAAATAATTTTTTTTTAAGTGAACCTAATGGCTACTTCACTTTTTTTCATGGGGGGTACCAGGGATTGAACTCAGGACCTTGCGCTTGCAAGGCAGGCAGCGGAAACACTGAGTTAAATCCCCAGCCTTACTTCACCTTTTAGAGTCCAATATCCTTAACCAACCTCGAGGCAAAAAGACACGACTGTCATTCAATGAGCCCGAGCTCTGAGAGAAAGCACTGGAGAGCTGAGAAGGGCTGCCGCGAACAGACATAAACCCAGGCATGCAAGGCCAGCCCAGCTCAAAGCCTGGAAACCCATCACGCAGCCCAGCCACGGCGCCACCACACGGCCCTGTAGGACAATGGCTCCCAGAAGTCCTCCGAACTGTCCAGTGGCAACCCCGGGACTGTAGAACAGTGCCGTGGAAGGGACACCAGCCCCGGCAGGAAACCACTGTGCAACTTGACAGCTCGGAAGGGTACGAGAGCCTAGCAGGTGGACAGCGTGGTGCTAAAGACACTGGGGCACCCGGAGAGAGAAAACTTTCAATGACCCCCAAAACAGGGTCCTAAAGCAGCGGCAACCAAAGCCTACAACTGCAGACACCGGAAGTCAACACCAAACTGACTGCTGAGTCACGCAGACTGCTTCAGAGGTCCAGCAGAGGCAGGGAAGGGACATCTGGTCCCTTGGATGGAAGGGAGCCTGTGAGGCCTGCAGTGCGGCACCCAAGGCAGTCACTCCTCAGCCACGCCACAGCCCGGATGCACGGGGAGGGACCAGCCCCGGGGGAACCACGAGCGCAACCCCGCATCCACTACACATCGAGGTCCCAAGGTGCAGCCACTTTCCTACAAATTACATGAGAAATCCAAAATACAAGTCATTTAAGAGAAAATAGAAAAGAGATGATGGGACAGGGAGACAGACTCTGGAGATGAGGAGCTCAGGAGAGGGAAAGAGGGCTGGGGGTGGAAGGGTTAAGATGTGAAATGCGTGTGAATATACCATGCCTACAGATCACACACACACCAATAAAATTAAACAGGAGCCAGGCATGGTGGCGCACGCCTGTAATCCCAGCACTCGGGAGGCTGAGGCAGGAGGATCGCTGCGAGTTCAAGACCAGCCTGGGCTACATAGTGGTTTCCAGGTCAGCCTCAACCACACAGTGAGACCCTGTCTCAAAAAACCAAAAAAAAAAAATTTTTTTTAATTAAACAGTAAAAGAAAGAAGTCTGGTGTCTTGCACACACAGGTAATCCCAGCACTCTGGAGGCTGAGGCAGGAGGGGCACCTAGAGTGAAGGCAAATCTGACCTACACAGCAAGATCCTGTCTCAAGGAAAAAAAAAATGCCAGGGATGGTAGCGCACTCCTGTGATCCCGCCACTCAGGACACTGAGGCAGGGGGATTGCTGCAAGTTCAAGGCCAGCTTGGACTACACAGTGAGTTCAAGGCCAGCCTAAAGTATATAATGAGACCCCCCACCAGAACAAAAACAAAATAAAAGGCCCAGGACCCATCCAAAGGTGATCATGAATTTGTAAGAGTACTATGTTAAGTATATTTTAAATCAAATGTGTGTTTTTACATAAAGCCATAAAATGTACATTTTATATATACGCGTATCTTCAAATATAGATAAAACATATTAAAATTAAAAACCGCTGTTGTCACTAAGCATGATGCACCCCATGGGTAAAGAAAATTACAAACCCTGGCACCCGCAGGCCTGGTCCCGCGCAGTGGCAGGCAGCGGCACTTTCTTGCTCTTTTCTGTACTTTTCATGCTAGACTTTTAACAAATTACTTTCATTTTTCAGGTTTTACTTTTATAATTTTTTGGGGGTACTGGGGATCAAACTCAGGCCCTTGCGCTTATGAGCGGTGGAACCACTGAGCTAAATCCCCAGCCCTTTTACTTCGATAATTAAAGAAAAAAAGCTATTACACTTCTGCAGATGGGAAGGGGACCAAGAGACGGGGAATCAGGAAAATGCCGCTGTGTTCTGTGCAGGCACCGCTCCCCACGAACGCGGTCATTATGTTCCACACACATGGACCGATGAACATTTTCTAATTAAAACAAATATTCAAAAACTTACTTCAAAAGCACACAGAGCAGTGTTCACAAACACGTGGACTATCGCACAGGAATCACTGGAGCTGGCAACAGTGGCATGCTGGGAATTTGCAGATAGGACAACTAGGGGTCAGAGGTCGTGTTTTCTTTTCGGGGTGGGTGTTTTTGAGATAGGTCTCACTATGTAGCACAGGCTGGCCTTGAACTTGTGGCAATTGTCCTGCCTCAGCCTCCCAAGTACTGGGATTACAGGTGTGTGCCACCAGGACCCACCCAGAAGTCACACTTCCTGTACCCCTTTCTGTGTCTTTTGAAACCAGTACCGTGTTTATTACCTATTCTTAAACGAGCACAACTTTGTAAAACCACAGTGATGTGACACGTAACGGGCACTTGTTTCCCGACTTCATCCTCACAAGCCACCAACATGCACGAGAAGCTCCCCGTCTTCTGGCGTGGGGAGTGAGGGTGTGCCACAGCTCCTGCCGCACCGCCTGAGAGCACACACGGGGCGACAGAGGTCGGTCGGGGCTGCTCCGCTCCTCTCCTCCAAGGCCACCGGGTGCCCGGGGGAGGAGGAGACACGGAGGCCGGTGGGCCAGGGCCTGCAACACCCAAGTTCTGAACCCTGAAGCGGCGGGGAGCTCGGCCCGGCGAGTCTGAGTTTAAACACTGGGACCAAAAGCCCTGGCATCTTCAGTCCACCCTGAAACTGCAGGACCGCAGCGCCGTCCCTGAGCAGCGGGCTACGTGTCCTGTCATCAGGGAACACAGGACACACATGCAACCTCTCAACGGCGAGTCACACAACCCGGCTCAACTGAGCGTGGCCAGAGTCTAGAATCAGCGACAGGCGGCTCACAGAAAGGGTCGGGGAGGAGGAAGAAGTCGCACAGACTCGCACGTACTATAGTTAGAAAAAGTGCTTCAAAAATAGGCTCAGCGGTAGGACCCTTTACAGCCCACACCAGAACCAGTTCAGGCGGCTTTAATCAGCCCTCCCGCTTGGCTTGTTTCCGCAGACCACATACGCTAAATCGTGTAAAATGCACTTCATCTGAAAAGGCTGAAATACAAGACACGACGTGAGCACAAAACGACGTGGCTTCGTGGCTGCATTTATAAAACACTGTAATGAAAAAGCAACGGCTTCAAATAAGTAAATAACACACTATCCAAACGCGTGTCCAACAGGTAACATTTTAAACATAAACGATGTCAACTGGTGTTATTCTTTCAGCAGTGCGGCATGAGATTAAGAACCCAACGTTCCAGGCTGGTCGGGCAGGACCTCGGTCCTGACTGTTCACTGGTTCAGGGGCCCAAGCTCCCGAAATGACAAGGGTTGAGCCAAGCAGGTCCTGAGCAGTCACGTCGGCGACCCTGAGCTTGGCGCCGCGCACCCAACGGAAAGCTGGGCCCTGGGCAGAATTTCTGCATCAAAAAGCATCAAGCACTGAATCGGACGAGTTTGAAGGCCAGGTAAGACAGCAGTGGTATTAAGATGAAGTTACTTTCTCGACTGGTTTAAAAATAGCATGGTCTTCAAATTACCTGACTTGTTAGACAATGTTGACTTTCCAGTCGGCAAGAGGACCAAGCTGGGGCAACAGTGCCAATCAGCAGGCAGACACCGCCGAAGCTTCCACGGATTACAAACCTGGGCTGCCGGCCGGTACACACATCACAGAGGGCTTTCTGGCTCAACAGCAGGCAGAGAAAACGACAGTTCTTGGAAGAGTCTCATAAACTGTAAGAACAAACATATTCAACAGAAAATCTAGCCCGTATAACGTTTGACTGCAAAAGTGTCAACCAGATTTTTAACCCGAGAAGAGGAAATCGTTGTTGAAGTCTCGTGTCTGTATTCGTTTTCCTTTTCAGCTGAAAGGATGAAGCACAACAGCCACGACTTTGTTACAGACTAAAATCCAACAGGTGATTCCAACACCGCCTGAAAATAAAGAGACGCAGTCAGAGACCAGCAGCTCCTCCAGCCGCCTCCACACGGCCCTCGATTTCCGCCACGGCCTCCCTCAGCACTTTCCAGAAAGTTCCTACCTGCCACTCGGGTAGGAAAGGCCACCAGGCGGTCCAGCGGGGTTATCCATTTGCTCGGCACCACGGCCACGGGGACAGAATAGTACTTCCAGATGAGCGAGATCATCAGCGTGGCCTGCGAAGGCCGGGCCGGTGAGCAAGGCCCCTGCAGTGGCACAGGGCCTGGCTGGGGTCCCCGAGAGGTCTCACCGCCCACGCTGCCCTGCCAACCACAGCGCTGCGATCTCCCAGCTGTTACCTCCGCATCTGGCCAGGAAGGCCAACTCTACCAACTCTGACCACAAGAAGGGGTCTGTTCACCTAACCTGGAATCTCCCCACTCCCCGGGGAAGGGAGGGAGGAGGACAGGAGCGGTAGGCAGGGAGCAGGGGCTAATTCCGTGGTGCCCCAAGTCACGCACCAGTAGGACCCCGGCCCGGCCCAGCCCCTGCAGCGCACTCACCTGCAGGATGTAGAAGGCCACGCTGACGACCCACTTTATCTTGGCTAGCTGAGCCGTCCGAGCTTTCACTGAGGGGGAAAACAGGACGGGACAGCGGGTCAGTGCCCCAACCGAGAAATACCCACACACACAGAAATGCTGCTTCCTCTTAGAAGACTCTGCCTAATTAAAAATGCAACAACCACTCAATGTTCTCAATTCTTTTGTGTGTGTGGTACTGGGGATCGAACTCAGGACCTTCCGCTCCCAAGGCAGTCAGCAGATCCACTGAGCCAAATCCCCCGCCCACCACTCAATGTTTAGAAAATACAAACTGGAGCTTTTATGAAGTTACCCTCCATCTTATTCTATCATTATTTAAGAGAATCCCACTCAAACAGTGAGATCTGAAGAGCTTTAATTCTGAAAACCTTTAACGTTACTCGTCAAAATCAGAGACGCGTCCTACAACGCAGGTGCCGCTTGTCAGCGGAACTGCGTTTCCACTCAGCCGGCGAATGGTCCCTTCCCTTCACACAGGAGACAGCACCATGAAGACAGTCAGGGAAGGTCGGCACTGCACACGGCCCAGAGAGAGGGATGAAAGGCCCCGGGAAGCCACGTGAGGTCATTTCTGGGCTTCCCTGAAAATAGTGCTGAATTTAAACCAGGTGTGGGGCACAAGCCTGTAATCCCAACACTCAGGAGGCTGAGGCGGGAGGATTGCCAGAAGTTTGAGGCCAGACTGGACTACATAGTGAGTTCAAGACCAGCCTGGACCTCAGAGAGAGAGACCCTGTCTCAAAAAGCCAAACAAAACAAAAACAAAGAAATAATGCAAAAGTGTTGGGTCTGAAAACAAAACCTACAATGACAGGCTGGTTCTGCAGAAAACCCCAGAGGGTTCCTGGATGTCCGTGTTTAGAAAAGAGGTTCCCCAGCCAAACAGAGGGAGCACCTCTGGCCGGGTTTCTTCTGCAGAATTCACATTCTACCACACCTGGAAGCCGAAGAGCAGAGCAGAGTAGCCACACTCTTAAGTGAATCGTAAGTGAAATGAACAGGACACACGTGTGTAAATACCAAAGTCTGGTGTGAGAAACGGAAAGTGTAAGGATCGAAATGTATAACAGATAGCGTGACACAGCAAGAAAAGGTCCGAAGGGGAAGGGGAAGTGGGAGGAGTAGGGGAAAGGAAAGAAGGGAATGGAATTAACCTGAGAAAAGGAAACATGGAAACAGTCTTTGTAAACAGGAGGGTGGAGGGGTGAAGGGAGGGCAGGGGTATGGGGAAGAAAGAGCGCCGAGATGGTCACGTAAAGGACCAATCTCCGATGATGAACGTCATCATACCGGACCCCCAAAATGTACCAAGAAAATTCAATTTTAAATCACCCAAAAGCAGCAGCACTGGCCCACCCACCGTGAGTCTTGAGCCTGTCTGTCATCTTGTTGATCTTCCGCTCCAGGCGTGCGTAGCGGGCGAACTCGTCCATCATGTTGACTGAGGTGAGCTCCTGCTTCATGTCCTGGATCTCGGCTCGCATCTGCGACTCCTGCTCCGCGTCCTTCTGCAGCAGCCGGGACATCTGGGCGGGAGGTGGTGAGTGGTTCCCATTCCGGCCCAGCACACACTTTCCCCGGCTGTCGTCCCATGGGTGGTGGCCGCACCTTCTCCCCGCATCCTGCCTCCCTCCCCTCCAAGCGGGGCTGTGCGCCTCGGCCTGCTCCCTACTGTACCACAAAGCCCAAGATGTCCCTGGGATTTGAATCCCAACCCAAGGCACACTTTCCCTTCACAGCTGTGCGTGGACAGCGACAGCACACGCGTGTGTCCTGCATGCGGGATAGTAAGTGAACCAACTCCACCGCGAGTGACACCGCCCCACATCCTCAGCCAGAGGGGCCAGTGAGGAGGGGTAGCCCGGTGAGGGCTGGGGCAGGAGATCCTGGCATGCAGGTCCTGGCAAGGGGCCACACTGGTGCACAGTGGCAAACTTGACACACTGGACCTTGAGCCAGGGTGCTGGAGCCCAGCTGTGATCCCACTGCTAGAAACTAGATCTCGATAAACGTTTTTTTTTTTGGTACCGAGGATCAAATTCAGGTTCTTGCGCTTTTGAAGCAGGAGGTGGCACTGCTGAGCTAAACCCCCAGCCCTAAACCTGACTTTTAAAACTGTATTTTAAAAAGGAAAAAGTAAGTCTTTCACGGCAGCAGGAGCCTGAGGTCCCGGCTAATCAGGAGGCTGACGCAGGAGTTCTGGGCCAGCTTGGGCAACACAGCAAAGATAAGTCCCAAACAAACAAACAAACAAACGCTCAGTGGCAGAACGCTTGCGTAGTATGTGCAAGTCCCTGGATTCAATCCCCAGAGCTGCAAGTACAAGTAAATAAAATTAAATCCGAGGCACAGGTGTGCAGAAACCCACGGTAGGTGCATAGGCAGAAGGGAGGCGATACACCGAACGGAGGCAGTGTTTGCACAACATGTTTCTTTCAGAGGTTGACTGCAGGATAAACAAAACCTCAGCCAGGCGCACACCCGTCACGTCAGCTCCGGGAGGCTGAGGCAGGAGGACCGCAGGTTCAAACCCAACATGGGCAACTGGTGACTTGACAAGACCCTGCTCCAAAATTAAAAATAAGAAAGGGCTGAGGATGTCACTCGGTGTGGAGGCCCTGGGTTCACAGACTGCCTCTGTGATACCAACAGGAGCTGGGATTCCTCCCCACCAGCAGCCAGGTGGTCGATCATCACAGGGCAGCTGAGCGATCCAATGCTGACACAGTCTACCTGGAGACGCTGTGGCAGCTCCCACACCGGTCACCTGGTCTCTGGAATTTGTCTCCAACTGTTCCCACAACAGCTTGTAGGCCAGCTCACAGGCCCAGGGAAACACTTCCATTCTCTTGCATATTACAGAGGAAGTGTAAAGGGAAAGGCCGAGGGTCCATAGGGGACACACAGGGCCAGATCGGCACCATGCCCGCTCCAGCACCCGGGAGTCCTTGCTCCCCTCCCTCTCAGTCCAACCGTGCTGGGCCGGCCAGAGCTCCCTCCTTACGCGGTGACCAGAGCAGGAGGAGTGCAGACGTGCGGCCGCACGGAAGGGTGTGACTGCGGCTGCCACATCCCGGTTCCTCCTGGACTCGGGGAGGACTTTTAGTTCCTATGAGCTGCCCTGGGGAAGAGACCTTCAAGGCTCCCTGGCCTGACCTGGGGAGAAAGGAGCCGGCGGCAGATCACAGGGCCAGAGGAAATCAAAGACTGCTTTCCCAGACCCCTCTGACACCTGGCATGCTCCACTGTTACCCCAAGACTGTCTTCCCCCGCCGCTCGCTCTGAGGCTATTCCGGAGGAGCAGGAGCCACAGCAGGTAAGAAGACCTCATCCAGAGAGCCAGAAGCACAGGAGATACTTGTTATCAAGGGAATGCAAATGAAATGACAACGAGATGCCACTTTGCACCCAACAGGACGGCTGTTTAAAAAGGGGGAAAAGGCCGGGATTTAGCTCAGTGGTTCCACCGCCTGCCTCTGTAAGCACAAGGAGTTCGATCCCTGGTACCCAGGGGGAAAAAAAAACACCAAGTGTTAACGAGTGGAAAGCAACTGAACAAGGGTTCACTGCTGTGGCCAGTGTACAAAACAGAACTGCAGCTGCTGAAAAAAACTGAATACAGAATTAGCGTGTGACCCAGCAATTCTACTTCTGAGGATATACCCAAAAGAATTAAAGTCAAGAACTCTTATCTGTACATCAATTTCTGTCAGCCACACTCAAAAGGTGGAAATGGCCCAAGGGTCCATGCACAGATGCATGGGTAGACAAAATGTGGTAAATACAGACAATGGAATATTATTCAACCTTAAAAAGAAAGGAAGCCAAGCACAATGGCACACACTGAGAAAGCTGAGGCAGGAGTACCTCAAGTTTGGGCTAGCCTGGCCAACTTTGGGAGAGCCTCTCTCAAAAAAAAAAAACAAAAGGGATGAGGATTATAGCTCAGTGGTACAGTACTTCTGGCTTTGACCGCAGTAGGGGAAAAGAAAGATTCTGACATAAGCTACAACATAAACCTTGAAGACATAGTGAAATAAGTGACACAAAACAGCAAAAAAGTATGATTCTACTTGCATGGAGTCTGGTGGCCCAGGGACCGCAGGAGGAAGAGGAACTGCGCAATGGGTACAGAGTCTTCGTGGGGAAGATTAAATTCTGGGATGGAGATGGGTTGCACAAGGAGGTTCTTAAGACACCAAACTCCACACTTAAAAGCTGTTCGAATGAGTGTTGTGGCTTATATTTAATGTCCTCAGAGAGCCTCCTGGGCTGACAGGTGGGGTTCTGGAATATGACTGGGTGATGGGGGATTACACCGACTTCCTCTTAGGAAGCAGGGTCTGGGGGCGGGGGGTGGGGAGGTGCTCACTGGGGGCGTGGCCTGGAAGGGTGCATCTCCCTCCCCAGCTTCTGCCTTTGCTCTCTGCTACCCCCACCATGCCCTGAGCCTCGCTGTTCTCCTCCAGGCCCCTCTGCCAGGCCGCCCTGCCTTGGAGAGCCGTGGACTAAATAAAACGTGAGCCAAGGTAAACCTCCTCTTTAAGTTTCAAGTGCCAACTATTGTGTCTCAGTGATAAAGTTACTAACACAATGATATTTTACGTTATGGGCATTTTACAGATCAAAAGGAAAAAAGAGCATAGGCCAGCTCTTCAAGAGTCTTCAGCACCATGTTAAATACCCAGGAGATCATCTTAAAGATGAAGCAGCAGCAGGGAAGATTCTGAAACAGAATGAGCCCTAGGAAAAAACCTCTAGTGCAGAAGCCAAGGAAGGAAAAGCCCTAAAACAGTTTTGCCAAACGATTGGTCAATAAATACTGGTGGAATAAAACAGGAGAGAAGCAGAAGATCTGCCTAGTCTTAAATATGCACCCTCAACACCACTTTATATTAGGGAGAAAAAAGCAAGACCCGTTTTCCTTCCGAAGTCTGTCTGAGCCAGACAGCCCCTTGCTTCCACTCCAGAGGGTGGGCTCCCGCTACCCCATCCTACCCTGCCCTGTACAATCGGCCACCCGATCCCTATTCAAGCTCCAACAGAACCCGGAGAGACAAAGCAAGGACGGAATATCCACTCAGCAGTCACTTTAGATGACTTGGTGCTGCTGTGAAATTCCGAGCCTGACTCTTCCTCCGGGAGGAAAGGGAAGAGCAGATGATGACCGTCCCCTCTCCCTGCAGTCAGGACAAGAGGACACGGGGAAGGCACTCCCTGCCGGGACAGGATGCAGGCAGGAAGAGCGCTCCCCAACGCTCCACGGACGTTTTCTCTCTACCCAGCCTCCCCGCCCCACCGTCCGGAATGGGAGCGCCTGCACCCTGACCTCGATCGCTCGGGGACCTGGCACCAGTGACCACGGACTCAAGGCCTCCAGGAAACCCTGCGAAGCACGCATGAGGCCCGTCAGACGAGCCGGATTGACGGGAAGCAGAGGCTGGCGTCCCGGCACCGGCACCGAGGACGCCCAGCCTGAGCTCGCCGCCGCGCCCACCCACGTGAAAGCCTGGCCAGGTGTCGCCTGGTGTCTTCCACCCCCCAAGGAATCCAGCGAGAGGAACTGTGGGGAAGCCTCGCAACTTTTAGGCGCGTGGAATCATCTCCGAAAAACACAAAGCCTGGCGTGGTGGCGCACGCCTGTAAGCGCAGCACTGGGGAGGCTGCGGCGGCGGGACCGCTGCGAGCTCAAGGCCAGTCTGGGCTACGTAAGGAGCCCCTGTCTCAAAATTTAAAAAAAAGAAAAGAAAAGAGAAAGAAAGCATAAATCTTTTTTTCTTAAATACTAAAGCACAGACGGACCGCGGAGGCGCTCCTGCGACCGAACCTGGCCCTCGCGGCCGGGCAGACGCGCCCCTGC